TGAGTCGTGGTGAGAAAGCGTAAGATGCATGATTGTGGATATGATATATATATATATATATATATATATATATATATATATATATATATATATATATATATATATATATATATATATATATATATATATATATATATATATATATATATATATATATATATATATATATATATATATATATATATATATATATATATATATATATATATATATATATATATATATATATATATATATATATATATATATATATGTATATATGCCTTTATGCATTATTTGTTATGATATTGTTTCTCACCCTTCTGCTGTTTTATAATGCTCTATGAGGCATTGCAGATTAGATTACTGGAGATCTTTTGTGAGGCGTGGCTTCATCCTTTAGTTGGTCGGCTCTGATATGTAGCACCGGGTAGCTAGGAGTTGCTTTGTTTCTTTTGTGATGCATGTGTATATGTATCTGCTGATGAAAGTTATGTAACCATGTTGGTTGATGATTTGTATATATGAATACATGTGTTAGAGAATTATGAAATATTTGGATGTTCCGCCTTTGTTCCAGATATTTTTTTCTCGTGGGTGTTACCCCGTTGTTGCATATCATTATATATGAGCAGGTGTTTTATATGTGATTTTCGGATAATGTGGCATGCCCCTTTTATACCGTTTTATAAACTTACTCTGATGAAATTTTGAATTTGTGCCTAAATGATTAATTGTATTATTTAGGGGTATAGAAAGGGGGTGTTACAGATGACCATGGCTCTAGCGAAGTATTCTCACCGGCTGGTTGGTCGGATTGGTTCGCCGATTAGGTCGGGTCCTTCGGGAAGACCGAATTCTCTGTCCGCGAACCAATCCTCGGGGCGGCTGACACAAAGTGCGACCTGGAGCCTGTTGTTGTCCTCTGGAGAGGGGAGTTCCTCGACTTTCTTGGCCTCTGGGGCCTCTTGCCTCAGTGGTTCGCCTCCCCGGGTGTATCTCTTCAGGTGACCATCTTTGATCAAAATTTCGATCGCGTCCTTGAGATGGATGCAGTCTTCGGTCACGTGCCCGTGGCTCTTGTGGAATCGGCAGTATTTTGATTTGTCCACATTGGGCTTGGGGGGTGTCGGTCGCAGAAAACGAACACCTCCCTGGACGAATTCGGTTTTGGCGCATTCGGCCAGTATGCGCTCGCGGGAAGCAACCAAGGCCGTGTACTCTGTGAATCGGCCGGCAGGGACGCGTGGTTCGCGTTGTTCGCGGGGCTCGCTGGGGTGATCTTCGCGACGGCGGTCCCCTCCCCGTCGATGGCTCGAGGCTCCGTCGTCTCGGTGCCCGCGAGGGGCCTCTCTGTCTCGGGTGTCTCGAGCGGAGTTGGCCGCTTGTGTTTCTTCGAATCGGATATAATGCGCGGCTCTGTCGAGGAAATCCTGGAGGGAGGTTGGCTGGTGTATGCCTACGGCTTCGTAGAACTTGGAGTCGTGGCGTAGACCCTGCTCCATTAAGTAGCGCTTCATCTCGTCTGACGTTGTCACTTGCACTGCTTCCCGGGTGAATCTTTCGATGTACTTTCGGAGAGGTTCGTCGGGGCCTTGGATTATCTCCCCGAGGACGGCTTCCGTCTTCGGGTGGCGCCGGGACGCCGTAAAGTGTTTGGAGAACAGGTCCTTCAGGACTCTCCACGACGTAACTGATTCGGGCTCCAAACTTTTGTACCAGGTCATGGCGCTTTTCCTCAGGGTCGTCGGGAATAGCCTACACTTGATAGCTCCCCGGACGTTTCGGTAGTCGAGCATGGCTTCAATGTCCTCTAGGTGATCGTCCGGGTCGGATGTGTCGTCGTACGTCGATAGCGTTGGGGGCTTCTCCATCCCGTGGGGGATGGGGGCAGCCATGATTTCTCGGGACAGCGGGGTGCGATAATCGTCCTCGTCGCTGGGATCCGGGGACTGATGGGGAGACGAGCCGTTCAGAATAGGCCCCTGGTTTCGGGTTCTCGACCTCCTGCCTGGGTTTTCGCCGCGAGGATCCCTGGCCGGGATCGCTGCAGTGTTCTGGCGCCTCTCGCGAACTTGTCTTGCTGGGGACCTGGTGCGTTCTTGCACCACCTGTGTGCGGTGTCTCTCCAGCCGCGGTCGGCGATTTCTGGGTCGAGGTGAGGGACTCCTCGAGCCTCCGTTCTGGTCTTCCCGCGGGGGAGACCTCGGAGGGCCGACGCGCTCCAATGCTCCAATCCTCGCGTTTTGCTGGAACAGCAGCTGGTTCGTCTGGTTGATGGTCGTAAAGAGGGCGGCCACCGTTAGGTCTGCTCCCGCCGGGATGGGAACGGGTTGGAACGCTGCCGGGCTCGGGGGCCGGCGGTCGGCCTGAAGGAGTCGCTCTGCGGATGACGGTGAGGCAGTTTGGCCGTCTCTCTCGTCAGTTTCTGCCGGACGCGACGTTTCCATCTGCTTGTTTCCGTTGGTGGCGACGTTGAGCACAAAGTCATGCGGAGTGTCGTCGCGGTATGGGCTAGCCATGATCGTGGAGTGTTGGTGAAACTTTGGTTTTCTGCTCGGAGTAACGGGGAAGTTTCTGTTCCCACAGACGGCCCCACTGATCTGACCTGATCAGAAGGGGATCACGGACTGGCCACACGTTGTTGGACTGCTATCTGTTCGCTGATGATGAGGAGGAGAAGGGGGGTGTACCTGCAAAACACTCTGATGCCAAAGTAAGAAGTTGGGCAGAGTGAGAGCAAAGTACAGAAAGGGCAAGATGTGAATTAAATGACCCTCTTAAGGAAGATGGTATTTATAGAGAGACCCCAGCGCTGGGCCAACGGTCACTTGCGTTGGGCTGGACTAGCAGGCCCAACCCAGGTGACTGCTAGGGCTTACGTGGCGTAGTGAAGACCAGGACGTGGTCTTCGCCCTAGTCCAACTGCTCCTTGATCTCCGGAAAGTGGGTTTGACCTGCTCTTTCGGAGGTGGGCAGTTGGTTGATGACGTGTCCCCGCATAGGGGGGCACGTGGAGAACGTGCGCCGGGCACGTTATCCTCCCCGCGGAGGGGAGCTCGCGAGGTTCCCCAGAGGGCGTTGTTCTCCCCGCGGAGGGGAGCACGCAAGGACGCGGAAGAGCCATGTGGTCTTGCTCGATGGACCGGGGATGCTCTGTTCGGCCGAAAAAGGGGGCGTTGAGGATGCTACGGGACGTGTCGTCCCGCTCGGCAGGGAGCGTGCCCTGCCCGTCCTATGGGGGTGTGTGTCAGGTCAGGCTAGTCCACTTAACGGGCCTTGTACGTTATTGGGCTGGACCGCGAGGCTGGGCCCAGACCAGAACAATTATTTTGCAAACCAATTTAAAAAGTTATATATTCAGTTAGGGATAAATAGTATAAGCAATTCACATTAGATATAATAAATTCAATCGTGTTTAGTTGTTGATTAAATGAAAAAAATCGAAGTGAAATGTGTTTTCGCCATTTAAAATTTTCAAAAAGATTTTGCTAGGGATCAACATGAAAATCTCTAAAGGTTCTAGCTTTAGTCTATGCTAAAAGCTATTTGTGGTTGGAATAACCCTATAAATATCTCAAGATCATGTTGTATAAAAATTTGTGGGCATAAACTTTAAAAGTTCAAAGTTTATAGTCAAACTTTTAAGAAGATCCGTATAAATCCATGATGCGATCTCTCTAACCCTATCCTTTTAGTTTTTACAATTTAACTTTGTTGGTCTTTCTGCCTTAATTGCGGTCTGCCCCTAGTCGCCTTAATGTTGTCCGTCCCTAGTTGCCTTAATTGCGACACTTTGGCTAACCTCATTGTAACCCCAAATACATTGATTGTGTTAGCTTTGAAGGGGTGAATTTATTCCCACATTACTTAGAGATATATTATGTGTTTTTTATAAATGAGGACAATTCTCACCATATAAGTCGGTTTTGTAGGAATAAATTAGGCACAACCAAAATATGAGATGGTGTCAGAGTCTATCCTAGATCTATTGTTGAGTTTTCTGCATCGCCCATGCTTTGGGATCGTTGAGGCCCAAACGTGAGGGAGTGTGTTGTACTTTCCGTCTTAATTGTGATCCGCCCCTAGTTGCCTTAATTGCGGCACTTTAGCTTGCCTCAATGCAGCCCCTGATACCTTCATTTTGTTACCTTTAAAAGAGTGAACTTAGTCTCACATTGCTTAGAAATATAGTCTATGTTTAATCTCACATTGCTTAGAAATATAGTCTGTGTTGTGTTTATGAATGATGGTAATCCTCACAGTACAAACCAGTTTTGTAGAAATGAGTTAAACTCAACCCAAATTATTAAAACTTGCACTATATTTCCATTGCAATTTACTCAATTAAAATTCCTAATACAATTTTAATCGAGAAAAATATAAAATTAACCACGAATTTTAAATACCACAGTTCACCCCTTATACCTAAAAATCATGTGTCCAACAAATTTTGTGTCGTGTGGTTTGAAGTGATGACAATGTTTGGTTGTCATCACCGCATGATCATCTTAAAGCTACAATATATTATTACTCTAAAACCATGGCCAAATGGCTTCAGAACCCGAGAAAAGCATTTCTACCATGCTTCTCTAACACCACAACCAAATGACTTCTCGCGCGCTAGAGGGTGCCTGATAAATGAGTCAAAGCTACATATAAACAGAAGGAATAGGATTTAGAATTAAGCTATATACTCAGATTAATGAGAAAATGGACCAAACTCATCATGGATTGGCAAAGGTCACCCACCTGTCAATATAAAATGACCAGCCCATTACTTATTTTTGACAAGCAACCAACAATTTTGATACATTCCATCATCGTCACAAGTAAATGCAGGGACTTGTTTTTATTTTATGTATGTAAATGTAGTAACAACAATTCTTGCCTATGAACAAAACTCCCATACAGTATGGAGAACAGAGAGACAAATTGTCCCAACCAGTAAGTGCAAATTTATGTAAATTGATAGGGTATATGCATACCCCAATCCCACTGAAATATATCTATAAAATAAGCTAAGAGGATGCCCCAAATACACGGATTCTCTGTTGGATTTGAACCCGGCAGCAAGGACAAGAAGCCTTTCCCTTTTTTCCATACTCATCACTGCATTTAGCACACATGACTTGGTGAGCACATGGCAAGAAAACAACGGAGACCTCATCTTTCATACATATAATGCATTCTCTGTTGTTATTAGCTTCTTTTTCTGATAAATCATCCAGGTTATCCAAATCCAGAAGCAGCTTAGCAATTGACTCTCTTTGAGGCTTTGTACCCTCAAAGTCACTTACAGGTGAAGTAATTGACTGGTGCTGCAACACAGCAGAATGAACAGATGCTTTAAGGCGTGAAAGATCATGCTCAAGTCTGCGTAGATCATCCTTGTGGCGCTGGAAATCTATGTCTATCTTCAGACGCAAAGCCTCAAATCCCCTCTTATTATTTGATTCAGCTGTTTCCTTGGCTCGGCGCTCCTCCTCAACTAGTGCCAAGGCATCTTCTTGAGCCTTCAACTCCTCCTTCCATTTAACCTGTAATAAGATATTGTACAAAATAAATGGTTTAGAAGTAACACATGATCAGGTTTTTTTGTGATGAAACTGCTGTTTTCACCAGAGATTTATTTGTAAGATAGTATGTATCGGTCGATCTAACAAATCCTTGCTAACAAACATCAAAGGAATTAAATACAATCAGCAGAAAGAAGATTCAGATGAGTTAATATCAAGAGTCTTGCTAACCAGTGCCATTATGACATTGATTACCATTTTGACATATGACTTTACTAATATGAAAACACATGTCGAATATAAGTTAGGAACATCAAGAATCGAAGCAAGCAAACAAGTTTTTTCACATGACTACTAAAATAAATACCCATGAATAGACAGCACGACACCTGATAATTGGGACAAATTTAAGTATTGAAACGCTCGAGTATAAAGGTGAAAAGTTTTTCTACTATAAGAATAAGCCATTCGTAGCACACATGCAGACTATTCTGTTTTATTATTCATAAACATCCTCAAATTCTCTTTTTTCAGCTATTGCTACATCTGCTGGTCGAAGTTGGAATAGCAGACGCTATTTCCCTATTAGTGAAATTAGGATAACAATAACACCAGTTTCATAGCAGATTTTGTATTTACTATGCTATATCACTATTTAACAAAAAAATAAATTACAATAAACGCAACTTCATTAATAGATAAAACAGCAAGCATTACAAGTATCATGAGACAATTGAAATAGGACATACCCCATACATAGTCTAGAAGCAATTCTAAAAGAAAAAGCTACATAGGAATAAAAGACAAAACACATAGATTGTTGACAAGCCAAGAAGACACAAACAATCCAAAAGCTACCACCTATCATCCACTTATCAACTTTCTTCCGAACAGGGAAATGAGAATCCAGTCTTGTTTTCCAAATTCAATTATTGATTATTTCTTTGACTTGTGTTTGCGCATTTTGACTATCTTTGGTCTCTGATTGTCTAATTTTCTCGAATGTTCAAAAGTTAAATGATGATGAGAGATAACATTCTAATGGATACCGGACTTGTAAGCTTTTTCAATCACTACGCGATGCCAATAGAGACAGTTAATTGCTCAAAAATACAAAACTCTTGAGGCTTTGTCAAACACCAAGAGTGCAAACTTAGACCCCAAAAGACAAAAATACAAAATTGAAAACACATAAACAGAGATAGACAGATCTGATAGAGGAAGTAACTGCAGTCAGTAGAAAATCCATGACGGCTTTGGAGGTGGATGGGTGGTTACCGGCATTGAAGGTATAGGAGCAGCTACGGGGGAGAGAGGTGCATGCACTGTTAAGTTTGAGATGTGAAGAACAACCTTGACAAAATTTCCATTTCTTGGTGGTGGTGGTTCTGGTGCAGCAGTGGAAAGAGAGATTTGGCAGTGGATCATGGTGGAGAGGAGGTATCCGATGACTGAGTTAGTTCCAGTAAGAGCATGCGGGTGTACTTGACTGGGGTGGGGTGGGGGTGGTTGCTCTCAATAGAGGATGAGAGGACCACCGTACCGATGGGAGAAGAGTGCCATCATGTAGGAGGGAGGCCACCAAACCCTAAAGGTTTGGGGGTATTTTCCTAGAGAGAAGGGAGAGCATCTCTCTCTAGAATCGTCATAGAAACATATTCATTATTTAACAAATAAATAGAATATGAGAAGAGTTATAACTTCTACCCGTTACATAGGAAAAAGAATAGGTCATAAGGTTTCAACTGCATGGTAGAGGTCCTTATTTTGAGTATTAATGATAAATAAGTCTTGAATCTTGAGTACTTGAGGTTTTTAGTATCAATTATGCGCGTATTACAAATTGTTAAGTTTTTCACATTGCATCTGCTATCTTTGGTGTAATAGCATTCTGCTGTCTGCTTTGCAGCTGTATCATTTATTGGAGCAGATGCTTTGCGCCACATTCTTACAAGAACTATTCTGGTGTGTGCATATATACATACAAACAAGAATGGACAAACACAGATACAGATGCAGAAAATCTGAAATGTGCCAAAGGGTTTGAAGTATTGTGCAGTGTACCCATCCATGTCTCGACACAAACTTCAATTATGTGATGGATGAAATAATGGCTCATATATATGTTTCCGAGCTATGCACACATAGTTCATTCATAGTTCATACATTAAAAATATGCATGAAATGCAAGAAAAAGAAGGAAAATAATACAGAAGTTGCAATCTTTTTCAACTAAAAATCATAAGCTACTACACTGAACTATAAGATATTAAAATCTCCAAGGTAGAAGGAAGATATGCATTCAGTTACTCAGAATCCCTCTATAACAAAAAGATCAATTTCAATGCCACAATAGCAAATTTTGCCACACTAGTCTAGACTGTGTTGATGTCTGATTTTGAAAAATCACATGTAACTTTCTTTGTGTAAGACTGTGGGACTAATCCCTGTTTGGGAATTGGCTTGGCCCAGGACACAAACTCCCACTTGTTTTAAGCCCCAAACTACAGGTAAAGTTCAACCACATGGAGTTCAATGTGAAAAATGAGTCTCACACACTGGTTGAAACATGCCACTTTAATTCTAACATGAAAATTGCAATTTTGATCAATAAACTCATCCTACGCAAACAGAGACAACAAAACCATATTTTATTTTCCTTTTTGGTGGTTTGTGTGTGACATTCTCAATATACATAAAAATAATAAGGGGTGAAGAGAGAACCTCGGCTTCTTTTTGGCGCTGCGAAGTCTGAGCCAACACTTCTTGTGCCTCTGATATCTTCTCTTTCATATTGGAAACCTCCTTCTGTAGCTTAGCCTTCTGTTTTTCCCAAGCTAGAAGTTTCTTTAAGCACTTTTTCTCCTTTTTCGCAACTTCTAAGCAAGCTGTCACTGACTCTGATGCACTTAATTTGGAAGCCTCCATCTCTGCTCTGATTTCTGCATTTTCAGTCTCTAATCTTCTCACAGCTCCATTTGCACGGTCCACTTGACCACTAGCCTTTCTCAAAGCATTCTCCATCTCTGAGAGTTTCTTCATGGTTGTGTCCTCAAGTGCCTGTTTCCCTTTCTTCAATTTTTGGGTCTCTTCTCTTTCCATCCGTAACGTTTTGAGTTCAGTCATATCACCGCTTAGCTTCTTTGCCGCTTGCAGTGCTTTCAGATGAGCCCATTCTTTCCGTTCTTTGGCCTGTTTCTCCAAATCTTTTATCTGATGAAATATACTTACTATCACCTCATCCTTCTGATCCTCTGCCGCAAACTCCAAATTCTCATCAAGATTCAAATCACGAAATTTACTCAGCACCGAGTTCACAGCATCTTGGTTATCAGGAAACCGAGAATGTCCACACTGATCAACAGTGACATCAGGCCCGGATACAACCGGAGAATCCAAATTAGACATAGCGCTACGGCCAGGAAGGTTGGCCTTCGCCTGCAACTGCAGTTTGGTGTTTGCTCTAAAACCAGCAGCAAACATTGTAACATTTCTCTTCAACAAGTCCTTCATGGAAGGTGAAAGATCAAACCTCTTTGGGAATTCAATCTCTCTTTGCAAATCCGGACCGCAATTCAATACCCTATTCGTCGGATAATCCCCATTTTCAAATCCCCAACCCCCATGAAACTTACACAGTGGAGAAGCCCTAACACCAACAGAACTACGACCAGACTGGCCAGACTCGACAATAGCAGGCGGCCGACTAGGAACCGCACCCCCTGGCACAGGAATCTCCATAGTGCTAGCTTTCCCTACATGAAGATCACTCATAAGCAAACACCACATTGCATCACCTTTACTCAAATTAGGCCTAACCTGTTGCAACAAACACACCATACCAGCCAAAGAGTATTCCTCCAAATGCCTCAAATCAGAGAAAACAGGCTCAGTCTCATCGGAATTCCTATTACTACTAACCCCATCACCAAAACCAACACCACCAGCAACACTACCACTGGTATTCAAATACGACAAAGAATTATGCAAAATGTTAGTCAAAACATCCATACCACCATAACAATGACCATTCCGCAAAATGACTTTCAAAGCAGCATCTTCATCGTAACCCAAAGCAACAATCTTCGAAACAGCTTCATTGTAAACGAACTCCAAATTCTTCAAAAGGATCTCTTCTAATTGCTCCTCGGTACAGTAACCCCAACCGGTTTCATCGGAATTAGGGTTTGGATAGGGGAGAGGAACAAGAGTGTGGGAAGAAGAGGAATCGACGCGAGAAATATCGTACTTGAAGGGTTTGAGACCAGACTCGGCTATGGATTTGGATATTGCGTCTTTGTTATCGGAAGAATCGGAATCGGGTTTCACCGATCGAGGTCTCCGATTAGCTCTGATGTGCTTTTCTCTCACCGTGCAACCCATTTGATGATTATTTAGGTGCGGAGGTGAATATGGAAGAAGAGATTCGAAATCAGAAGTTGATGGAAGAGAATGGAATCTTGATAGGAAGAAGAAAGTTGTTTCGGACAGTAGTGCGAATAGGAAGCTCGTTCGGTGGCTTGGGCTCTGCTATGGTCGATTGGTGGTAGTAATGGTACGGCGTCTCTTAACAATTTTTCTTTTTTCAAGAATTTCCAAGGATTTTTTTGTCTTTTCTCAAATAAATTGTTAGGGAAAAAAAGTAAATTTAGAATTGAGATTAATATTTCATATTCTCGAACACGTCTAGAAGAATTTATTTTGATTGAATTTAAATTTAATTTTTTCTCAATTTAAATTGAGGAAGACGATGGATAATAATAACATTAGTATATGTTTTGGATTGGCCAATGAAATAATAAATTGACTCAATTCAAAAGTTTAATTCAAAATTTCGTCTCCCTATAAATAACAAATAGATATACTATTATCAAGAGTCGGAAATTGGAACTCAAACTAATGTTATGTTTATTAGAGACGATTTTAGATAACGCTCGTATATAAATACAATTATGTGTCGTACAATTTTGTACATTTTTTTAAATTACATTTCTTTAACCTCACTTATTTTACAAATTCCATCAATGTGACTATGTCTAATTTTTATTTATTTATCTTTGCTTGATTACACTTTTAAAGATCAAAATATCACTACTCTATATTTAAAGGCATGTTCATGATTCACATTGTCGCAATGGTCATTGTAACTTTTTTATACTTAAACTACATAACAATAAAACTATTTAAACATATAGAAACATTCAATTTATTTTAAAGATAGCACAAACTGCTAGGCATGGCAATGAGATGGATGAATACTTTTTTAGACATTACCACTCATGTCCACGTCTTTCTGTATCAGTCTCGCCTTTAAACATAGTCGAAGGTATCAGTTGTCCACTCATCCCCACTTCCAATAAAGAAATGGTTTTCCCGCATATGCTGTAATTTTTTTTAAATGCATGTTTTTTTTCATAGCAACAAAAGTCAATAATTAACCTAAATGCTTAACTATTTTAAAAATAATTGTAATATTTAATAATTTTTATTTAATATGTATTTTTTTAAAATAAAATAAAAATAATTCTAATAAACTTGATATTAAGATTAAGAAATATAAATGAATGATAAATTTATTTTTAAAAAGGATAAATAAATTAAATATAATAAGAATGAAGGATGGATGTAGGGTGGGAATGTACTAACATCCTTGCACCTAACATCCACACAAAATTAAAATTTATGTTTTTCTCACATCGCTTATCTAGATTGCATAATTAAAAATTGGAGTTTTCATGCCGCTCCAACTTTCCAATTAAATCAATTTTTCTTATTAGATTTAAGGTAGGGGCGATTAAGTCTATTACATTCAAATTTTTTTACCAGACCTATAATCTACGGTTTTTATCTCAATTGATAAATATTGATATTGTTAGATTTGACATTTTCATGAGTAATAGTTTTGTGCATGAATATCGGCAAAAAATATATATAATTATCTTTAATTAAATAAAGTTAATATATTTATAAACTCAATTAAAAAAAAAAAAAAATATTGAAACCAATATTTTAATTTATATATATATATATATATATTAACTTACTATATTATTAAAAAAAGTAAGGAAAAAGAGTACAAAATTATAATATTTAAATATAATTCATATTTCAATAAAAATATTATATTAAAAAACTAAAAAAAGAGGTAAAAGTATATTTATTTTATTATAAAAATAATAAATTATAATCTAATAATAATATATTGAACTTTAATAATACTTTATTAGGAATGATTTGTGACTGGCATTAAATTTTATTAATATATTATTAACTAATACTCTTAATAAATAATTAAATTTAATATTTTCCAAATTTTTATTGATACTTTAACTTTATAAATAAATTATTCATGTTTCATTTAATGAAATAAATCTTCTAAAAAAATTATTTATGATTTGAAATATATTATATAAAATGTAATAATATATTTTTAAAAAAATATTATATCAAAAATATGTTATTGGATAGATACAATGATTTTTATGATTATAGGATGAACTAAAAATTTTTTAAAAAATTAATAGATTCTTTGTTTAAAAAAATAGATTTATTCTATTCATCTATTTTTTCACTTCTAATTTGTAATTTGGTAGTCCATTTGTATATGGCCGGTTTGCTTTAGCTTTCTTTTTTAAATGACTATTCATAAAAATTTTAAAAAATTTGATTTAAATAGTTATTACTAAAATATTATTTTAAAAATTTTATTATTTTATTAAAAGAATATAGATATTAAAATTTTAAAAAGTTATTTAATTTTAAAATTATTTCAAATATTTTTTACTAAAAATCATTTTTAAGATATAATTTTTAGAAAAAAAATTATGATTTTTATGTTTTAATCTTCAATAATGTCATAAAATATTAAAATTAGTCTTTCAATTAAAAAAAACAAATTTATAATATTTCAAAAGATATTTTTTATCAAAACCATTTTTAATTAATATAAAAAATTGTTTTTTTTAAGTTAAAACAATGAGGTGCATAGTTTCCTCAAATTAAGTAAAAAGTTTATTATTATTAACATAATACGAAATTATTATAATTAGTGTATTTTTTTTAAATTGAATATTAAAATCCAAAAAAGTCCAAAGTATAAACATCTACTCGTATTTAGGAGTGACACAACAGGTTAGACCCATCGGGTCGGCCCATTTGTCCCGTCATTTTTGGCGTACTGGGTTGAGATTTTCGACTCGGTACTTTAAGTTGACCCGCCTTGCCTAACCCCCTTGAAAAACGGGTCGGACTGGGGCGGGCGGATTTTTGCCACGGGATTTTTGTTAAAACTTTTTTATTTTCTTACTTAGAATTAAAACAATTTTAACTATAAAAATAACACTCTTCTCTTAGGATTATGTTCATTGAATTGTATTATAAATTATTGTACAAACAAATTGAATTATAATTGTAAGTTCTGTCTATAATTTTCTAATACATGTCTTGATTAGAAAAACTTGAAATAAAATAACAATTGTATGTCATGCTGAATTATTAAGTTGTCAAACATTAACTTACATGCTTTCTTTAGAAATAAATGTTGATTTTAAGAAAAGGAAGGATTTGATTAGTGTATACATGTGACAAATTTAAGATTTAACTATTAAGAAATCAATCAATATAAAAGTCTATATGATGTAAAGAGTGAGAAAGTCAAATGTTGATATTTTATACACTACTATTTTCTGCACTGTGATATTTTATGCAGTGTAATTGTTATCATTGTTTGTCTTTTTGTAAATTCTTAATTGGATTCTTTTAGTAGTTAGATTTTAAATAAGATTAGGATGATATGTATTGTTTATTTATTTTGATACGTTTTTTTACTGTGCTAGAGTTTATTTTTATTTTTTTTGTAATTGGTCTTTATTTTTTATTTTTTTGTAATTCGTCTTTATTTATTTTATTTTTTGAATTGTTTAGACTTAAGACATGTTGAAGTTCTATTATGCGTTGTTAAAAAAATCTTTTGTCGACCTCTTTGGTAATAAATATTTTGTTTAATTATGTAATAAATTAAATTGTAAAATAAAAAATAAAAAATTAGCGGACCGACCCGCCAACTCGTCAATTTGTTAGTAAATGGGGTGGGTTTAACTTTTGAACTCAAACGCTTAAGTTGATCCGCCCCGCCCCACTTTTAGACGGACTTAAATGGGATGGACTGCCCATTTTGTCACCCCTACTAATACTAAATGGGTAATGTTAACTTGTGCCCTTGGGGCACATGTTAAGAATTAAATTAAGAAACATTATCTTGGAAATTGTGTATAAATTTTAATTAAAGTATAAAATTAATTTTTACATCGTGTTTTCCAATGCAAATTTACTATAATTGGTTTTCTTAACATGTGCCTCAAGGGCACAAGTTAACATTACCCATACTAAATCATACTGTTGTTTTTTATTAAATTGACGAACACACTTTTAATAATATGGATATGAGTATTTTTTGCAACACGTAAAAAAATAAATAAATAAACTAGCAAAATGAAAAGAAAAAAAAAAAGAAAAAAGAAAAATTAAAGATGCGTGACTTACTTTATTAAATAGGTTACTTTGAGAAGTGTGGGGGATCAATTAAGACCCTCACCCATGTATCACCCATATTCACACAGATAGATTAAGTAAACATATGTAATTATATATTAGCTTAAATAGTTGGTTTCGGTAAGTTAGCATGTATTTGTATTTGGTTTTTAAATTTTTTTTTTCAAAATTTATACATCTCACTTTTTCATTAAGTTAGTATCTGGCGTTAGAAGTCTGTTAAAAATGCGACATATCTAACATTGTTGATTTGAAACAAATTTTGTATGAAACTTTTGGTAGACAAATCAAAATTTCCGATACACATTAAATTTTCGGTAGTATATTTATAACTTTTGGTATACCGAAATTTCAACAATTTGCGTGAACTTACAAATATTACTAGAAAGTCTAAATGTTCCATTTTATTCTGAAAATTTTTGGTAGTTTGCATTCAATAAAAAAAATTTGTTAACATCGAAAATTTCAAAAAGTGTTGTAATTTACCATAAATATCAAAAAATTTGGTTGTGTAAATAAAAAAGTTTCAAAATTTTGGAATTTTTTTAAATTTCGGTATTCTTCAATTTTTTTTAGAAGTAATCATTTTTTAACGGGAATATTTGAAAATTCTGGTAAAAATTTTCAATAAAAACAAGTAAATTTAAAAAAAAATCTGGTTTTTACAAGAGTTTAATGGTAAAAATGCTTTAAATGGGGTGTCACGTCCAAGTGAGGGGTGGCAAGTTAAAACCTAAAATTTATATGTTCCTTTGTTTAATAAATTACACATGTGGCCATGAAATATTCTCACCTAAATTTCTACTATATTTAGAAATAGTCTTTTACTTTTA